GAGAGAGAGAGAGAGAGAGAGAGGAGGGGGAGGAACGTTGGTAAGCAGAGGACAGGTTGTAACTCACAAATTTATTACTTTTCCCCGCTTGGTTCGGGGGCTTATTTTATGCCAAAGAGACAAACCGGCTCGCAGGCTGAAAACGGGCGCGCGGCGAGGACGAACGGCGAGGGAAACGAATATCTCAGCTGCTTCGTCGCGTTTTTACGCCCGCGGGATATATTAGTGGATCGCTAATCCGCACGGATTTTACGGGGCGACTGTGCATGCGACCGTCGACGCCGACGTCCACCAAGAAGACGACGTCGAGCTCCCGACTCGAATAAACCCCATCGATTTTACACACGGGGATCGAAAAGAATCCGGAGAAGTCAGCCTTTCTTATATACCGTCTCCTTATTGCGCTTCTTATTACGTTTCGTTAATATTTTTCTTCTTTTTTTTTTTTTAGAATATTGAGAATAGTGAGATTCATTTAGAGCGGGTGGGCTCGTGTTTATCGCAATGAAGAAATATTTTTAGGAATATTATTAATAATTAACAAGTAGGTGTAGGTGTAAAAGTTTGAAAAGCGTGTTAAGTATTTTTCATTAAAAGAAACGTGGATTAATCTTCCCTTTAATCATTGATTTTATGTAAAGAAGAGTATTATCGCCCGTTTGTTAATAATACCATCGATTTATTTTCGCTTCTTTCTACAAAAAAAAAAAAAAAAAAATAAAAATAAAAGAAAAAAGAAGAAAGATTCGTTCACACGAATTAACCGCTTAAAATATGTGTCAAAAATAATTTTCCTTTTTCAATTTCGCAACGCCGATCCCGATGAGCGTGGTCCATGAAAGTTATAAAATCCGGGGATTATAATCTCCGACGGTGCATCGTAATCTCCGATATAAAATTATCGATGGAGAGTTATTCCAGCCCCGCTTTCATTACCCGGAAATTTTACTCGCGCTGCAATAAAGCTTGTACCAATATCCGCGGCATCGATCAAGTGATATTTGGCGAGGACTGACATTTGCCGCTTGTTGATTTACTATTACAGTAATATTTTCTTTCCTAACACATTCATTCTAATGGTTTTAATAGCTAAAGAGTTAAAATGTATTCACAAGGATTTTTCCAACGTTGAACGGAAAACGAAAATTGGATCCCTTTTTTTTTTTTCGATTCGTAATATTTTGATATATAATAAATTTGGAAATTAATTCGTAATTTATTACATTTTTATTTATCCATAACGTATAAATATAAAATTGTACCTATTGCTTTGATTTGGAAAGGAAATTTTTTTCTTTTCGTCTCTTTTCAGTTTAAAAAAGGTTAATAAATTTCCAAATAAATTTCCTCGTCTCGTGGTCCGCATTTGCATGTGCTAATTTCACATCGTTCCATGATTATGATTAATGGCACGCGGCAAAAATTGTAGATGCTGTGTACGAAGTGTTTCACGCTTCGTGAATGTTGGTCGATAA